AATTGATGTATGTATGGATTGTGATAAGAGTTGTATGAGCCCCTAATAAAATGATTTTTTTTTAAATTCATCAAAAAACCTGAAAAAAAAAAAAAGAAATATTACCTTATTACTTAACTCAATGGGGAAAGGATAAATCTTCAAACCCTATGTGGATAGAGTTTTGACCTTTTTTTGCTTATAAACTATTTCATTAAGTTGCTGGCAAGCAGCAAGCCTCTTGGCTTAAATTTCAAGTTCCCAAATGTTCTCCGGTTACTGAGTGGTAGAACTTCAGACAAGCTGCGGAACGACTGAATGGGAGTTGTGAGGGAAGAAGAGAGAAAGATCAAATACGCCGCTGACTGGAGAACAGCTCTGAATGCTACCTACTGACTTCGTGTTTCCAGGCCGACTTTCTGGAAACCTGGAAAGGAGGACTATGTAGTGGTTAAGAGTGAACGAACTGAACCTGGATCTAAAACTTGATCCACCGTGTACCATTTCTGTAATCTTGTCATGGCAGGTAAATTTACGTGTCAACTTGGCTAGGCCATGATGCTCAGTGGTTTGGCAGATAGTGTGTGACCATCCTCCATTTCGATGAGCCTGGAGACATAGTGGCTATACATTGAGCTTGGGTTAACAGTTCAAAACCACCAGCTGCTCTGTGGGAGAAAGATGAGGCTTTCCACTCCCATAAAGAGTTATAGCCTTGGAAACCCACAGGGGCAGTTCTGTGGTAGAAATGATTCCTTGGCAGTGAGTTTATCCTTCATCTCCTCCTGATCTGATGTGAGCAGCTTATCAGTTTTGCTCCTCTAGAAAAGTCAACCTAAAACACTTACTGACAATCAAAGGAAGTGGTGATATATTAACGTATGTAGAACAGTGCCTGTTTGTGCTGGGTGACCGAGGAGAACTGCTCTGCCGGGGTTTCGTGGCTGTCATCTCTGCAGAAGCAGATCACCAGGGCTTTTCCTATGGAGCCGCTGGGTGGGGTCAAACTGCTAACCTTTCGCTTTGTGGCTGACTGTTTAATTGTTGAGTCACCAGAGCTCCTAGAAGTGCTCAATAAAGGTTGGCTAATATTATGATATGATTGAGCAGGAGAAATACTAGGCTTTCTATCCTGTACAGAGTTATAGTCTCGGAAGCCCCCAGGTGCAGGTCAAGCCTGTCCTATACGGTCACTGAGTCAGAATTGACTGGATGGTGGTGAGCTGAGAGATTATGATTGAAGTACTGGTAAGTGCTAATAGTACTCAATAATTGTTGGCTATTATGATGATAGAAGCTGTATGATTATAATAACTATCGAGGCTATCATTTGGGGGACTTTATTCCCCCTACCCCTCTGATTTCCTGAGAGCCTCATTGATGTGACCCCTTCTAATTACTCAGTGCCGCAGAATGAATGAATGATCTGATTGGTTAGATAGGAAACGGCAGGCTTCCATTGGACCATGCCACCACTAGGTGGGGCCACTGTACTCCATCCTAGATAAGTCTCTCTTCCTCTTTAGAAAGGTAAACGACAAACGCAATGGTCCACAGAACTCGCTGCCATCTAGTTGATTCTGACTCATGACAACCCTATGTAGGGTTTCTGAAGCTGTAAGCCTTCACGGGCGCTTCAGCTTCTCTTCCACTGAGCTGCGGACAGTTTTGAACTGCTGGCCTTGCAGTTAGCAGTTCAATGCTTACACAGCAGTACCACCAGGGCTCCTAAAATGCAAGTGTAGCTTATTTTTAATTAATTTATCTTCTAGAAACATTTAGTTATTCTCCTAGAAGGCATAAATATATTCGTCTCTTGAAAGTCAATAAATATCAGATTTTTTTTAAGGTCACAACTGAATTTTTTTTTCAGATGAGATAAAGGTCCCATGTCACTTTCGGTTATCTGTTCTGCTTTTCAAAAAGGGGAACTTTTACATCTTTTGTGATAAGGAGAACCCACGGCACAGATACAAGCTAAAAAGATATTGAGAATGTATCCTTTCTTTTTTTTAAGTTCCCCCTTTCCTCCTTGGCATCAAAAGTAAGTCTGAGATTGACTGTTCTGCTTTGTCTCAGATTCTGCGGTGATTTCACCATCTATCCACTGGGGCAAGTGCTTGTCTCGTCCTCCAACACAGATAAGTTATCCAATTTAAGCTCACTGGCAAAGAATACAGAGGATTCACATTCAAAGGATACAGAGGACTACACAGAGAGTGATAGATGCGGACAGAATCACTCTTGGAATTCCAACTTTCCGTCCTTCATTCTTGATGTTGACTTTGAGTGTCAATGCAGCCTGGATCCAACAGGTCAACGTGCCAAATCCAAAGGTCAAGGAAGTCCCAACATTGTGGATTTCTTCATCATTCGTGAGCTACAGGAGGAACAAAAATGGTACATGGAGTCCCACTTTGAAGAGAAAAACCATAAACCAAGGGATAAGGGAAGGAGGACAAAGCCAATGGGATATTCCAACCACGATATCAGAGACTTTTGAAAGATTCGATTCCACCATGCCCACAAGTTCCTTGCTTCTATTCTTTACCTGCTTCAAATTCAGGAAAGGAAGGGAAATAACAACCCAGGATCCCCAAACATTCACCCAGACAAACTATGCAAGGAGTGGCGATCTATTTGTTAGTTCGTTTCCTAGAAAAGCTTTGTAGGGAATTATAAGAAACATGCAGGAGTGTTATGCGACAAAGAAAAGTGTCCAAGACTTTAAGAGATGCACTCCACACTTTGTTTTCCAAGCCTAAGAAAACGAGTCCTGGAATTTGGCTGTGTCATCCCTGATTGAAGATGGCCAATACTCAGCAGGACGAGATTGTATTGGCAAAAGCAACTAATACCCGACTGTTCTGTACCCCTACAAAACTGGCCTGTCTATGTGATGAGACCAGCTCGCTATGAGAGGGAGTTGCTCTATTTGGTTTGGCTTTCCTGGAGCAGTAAGGATGACCGCCAGCCTGGAGCTTCTGCGAGAGCCTGGGGGCATAGTGCTTATGTGTTGGAACAGTTCAGAGCCACCAGCTTGCTCCACGGGAGAAAGACGGAGACTCCTACTGCAGTGAAGTTCCCGTCTCAAAAGCCCACAGGAGCAGTTCTGCCCTGGCCGGTAGGGTCTCTAGGAGTTAGAATGGACTCAATAGCAGTGAGTTTTTTGTGTTTTTTTTTTTTTCCTGTGGAGCAGCTTTTGCAGTGCAGCTATGTGTCGTCTAGCATCTGCAATTTAGAGTCTATGAAATGGGACTGTGTATGGCTTGGATGTTATGTGGACAACGTATTATATACATGAGAGAGGTAACTAGGAGAGCCATGGGGCAGGCTGGGACCATGCAACTTCAGGATGGATCTGTGGAAAAATTGTGGCTCCACTCTGCCAGTCCTGCGTGGTCCGAGAATGAGAAGCGTTCCTGGCTGTCTCTGGGTCTGCTGCCACCATTTCCTTCCCTAACTGCCTTCCTCACTCCCTTCCCTGACTCCAATGAGCTTTAAACTCTTCCAATTTGCCTTCTCCTCCTCTGTAAGCCACTAGTTGCTCCCACCACGGGAGGATCTACCGCCTCTGCCCAGGCATCACGTGGACATCACATGCACTGTGCACAGCCCAGTACCAAGTACGCAGCATCCTTTGCTGGTCATCCACCTCCCTGTCCACTGCAGGGTCTCTTGTTTGCATGATCGCTTTAGATCCCATTCCAAAGAGTGCGTGGTGGCACCAGGACACTCTCTCCCAGCCACAACAGGGCAGATGCAAGCTAGTGGGAGGCAGATGGATCTCTGTACTTTGCAAAGTGTTTTGGCTACACTCCGTTTTCCCATCAGAATTGATGAACTCTAGTATAATGTGGAACCACAGATGTATATGTCGAGGACACTGCCCTAACAGACATCAAGTGACGCATACCTGTATTTGGAGACCCATTAAAAGACACCAGTGTTTGAAATTCACAGTCAAGACTTCTATAGCGCTAATGAATGAAGGGGAGCCCAGTTGGGTTGTGTACAGAATGGTGATCCTATTTATCAGAGGTCAAATTTTATTTGAGAAATAATTATTTAAAACAAGTTTAAAAATGTATCCTTTTGATCTATATATGTAAAAAAAAGTGGCTTCTCTCAAAGAAGAGGAAGCTTTCATCATAGCTGAAAACAACTGTTGAAAATTGTAAGGGGGGAAAAACCTGACTCGATGCTGCCATTATGTACAACAACGTCAAATCACAAATGCATGAAGGCACTGGCAATTCAAAAAACAATAGTATTTGCACCATGTTTTCATAGCCAATCTTGTCAACAGATTTTATTTTCCTATATGTGCTGTCAATAATAAAAGCAATCAGAAAAGATATTTTATGTGAGATACGTATTTGGAATCCAGAGGTGAATGACTGGAGACATCTTTAACCAGAAGTAACCCTAAGTGGCTTATCAAATCAACCCAATATCCAGGATTCGTCTAGGTCTTTAGCAGAGGACAAAATTTGCTTTCTGAGGACTTTGATCAGATCCCCCGTCGAAAGAAATGGTAGCTGTGGAGTACTTCACAGCATGCCTGCACCTGCAGCAAAGACAGACAAGTGGGAGAAGACTCCTACCCAACATTTCAAGAAAAGATGCTCCATGCCCTAACATGTTGGAGCTTATGGGGATAAACTCTCAGGCATTTTCCTGAGAAGCCAGTGAACCAAGATAACTTGTTCTAAGACGTCCGCTGGCACTCAGCCGCCACGCAGTCTTGTTTGCTAATCCTCGACTGTGGGTCCACCTCTTATCAAAGGGACAACCAGAAAGCGGTGTTCTTGCAGCAGATCAATGAGGGCCTCTGCTGAACAGCACCCACTGAGTTGTGCCTTGCAGCACAACTTAAACTGAAGGACACTCGGGGTAAGAAACAGCCACCAAAAAGCTACCATCTTTGTAGCACAAACAGTATGAGCTACTCACTTATATACCAAGGGTCTTGGATGCTTACATCATCGGGATTTCATTCAGTAGAGAGGGGAAGAGGGGGGCAGAGAAGGAAATATCTGGCAGGTCTACATAGCACAGATGAAGAAAATGGAGGCAAGGAAATCAGACAATCACTGTGAGGGAGTAGGGCTCTCCTTGTCTTGTCTATTTTACAATGAAGCCATTCAGGTCAAGAGCTGGGTGTCAGTATTGGCAAGGGGAATTATTGTTAAAGGTTGGGAGGTTGGGCTTGTACATTTCTGGAAAGAAGAACTAGGATTCATATATTTTCATGTAACAGATGGGTAATTGAAAGAAAATCTAGTCTCTTGATTGCCACATGACTTTGCTAAGCTGAAAAGCAAGCTGTCATGTAGTAAGGATGCTCATTGTTTAATCATAAAAAGGCAATGATCCTATTAGTTTTCTAGAATGAAACAATTTGTTATGAAGCAATGTATGAGGAGTCTTCAAAAAGTTCATGGAAAATGTGTATTATGAAAATACTGCTGTGCTCCTCCCCCCAGAAGAATTTATTTCAAAGGACGGCTTTGAATCTGCAGCTCCGGGAGAGGGACATATCTTATCGGAGCACACAGGAGCAGATGAAGGGGGAGGAGGAGCCAGTGGAGCACCTCCTGGCCCACAAGGCCTTGAGGATGATGTTCCCGATTAGAGCAGCCAGTCCACAGAGAGGACCACATGGCTGGCCCCACTATGAGACATGACGTCCCTCACTGACCCATAGCCCTCCAGGGGACAACACCGGAGACACAGTGTGGGAATTGCGTCCGATCTGATCCCACCACACCGAGGCAAAACACTAAGGGGTTGCAACCGAACAGCAAGGGAACGGAGCTGCGAGGCCCCTGTGGAATGCTGAAGGTGGACTTTGGGGCCAGGGCATGGTGCCCCAACAGACTGGACTGGAAAACACTCCTAAAGGCCAACAAACAATACTTGAACTAACTCACGCTTTTCTTTCTAGTTGTATTTTGTTTTTGTTTTTTGTCATTGGTTTATTGTTGTTGATATTCTGTTGTATATTGTTGCTTGGTTTTTCTCTGTCTTGTTTTTGTGCATGTTATTATCTCTGCAGGTCTGTCTAAATAAGATAGGCTGGATGAACAATCTGGAGGAGAAAACAGAAAACAACGGG